TACTTATTAAATCTCATCCAAACTATATATACCTGCATTGATGAACTTGAACATAAAATGCACAGAGTGTATTAGAGTTCTCCAGAGAACACAAGAGAAAGAGAGAGCCATTAGAGCACTGCCTCATTCGGTAGCAGGTGCTGGCACGCCTGGAGTCTGCCGGGCAGCTGGGCAGGCTGCATGGAAATTCAAGGTTGTGTGGTAAGATTAGCTTTGGAGGCTGGACACCTGAATCCATTCTTCCAGAAATATCAGTTATCCTCTTGAGGTTGTCAGATGATGGAGGATTCCACACTCTGGGGACGGTGGCCTGCTTTACCCCGGGTCTATTGATTCAGATGTGAAGCATCTAACACGTACCTTCAGAGCAGCAATGGAGGCTCATCATTGGGGCAAACAATTGGGCACTGTAGCATGGCCATGTCAGCACATGACAATAACCTTCCCAGTGATGATATTAATCTTTCAATAGGAGGAAAACCAGGTAGGCTTTGGAGTATAACAACACTGGGTCGAAAGCATTCATTCATTCAACAAATGCAATGTCTACCAGCAATGATAGCCACTGATGATTTACCTGGGGCCAATAGTGATACTCAACATTGGATTAACACATTGAAACTCAGAAGGCATCCTGGAAATAGGCATTACAGTTATTCCATTCTTCAACAGATGAGGAAACAGACATAAAGAGGTGCATACGAAAGGTCCCTTGAAAGAGTGAACCAGGACACAATTGACCAGGAGATTCTTATTGACAGGAGAAGTTCTCCCCTTTGTTTTTAACCTGTGTCCACCACTCCTATGAGAGGTAGAAAGGTAACCACTCCAGTTACCCACATCCTCCTGATAACCCTGGGGAATATGTTAGGATACATGGCAATGGGGAGGTAGTATTGCAGATAGACTAAGGTTACCCATCAATTGACTTTAAGGTCATCTGGGTTTGTCCAATATAGTCCCAACTTTCTTTGGAGAGGAAGAGAGGAAACCAGGGAGATGGCAGAGTGTGGCTTTACTGAGTTGTTCCCTGTAAAGGTGAAGAATATGGCTACAATTCCTATCATACTGGTGGACTCCAGAAACTGGTCCAGGTCGACTCGAAACACTAGAAAAGACACGAAGACGCCTTCCTTCGCACCTCCAGAAGGGCACCACCCTGCAGACGCCAGGAGTTCAATCTCATGAGATCTGCCTGGGACACCTGACCACCACATTGTCAGTAGTTAGTGCTGTTCTGAGCACCTGGATTATGGGATTCTGTCCCAGCATCCATGGCAAGCCAGGGCACCCCTTACGGATGCCAGCCCATGGCTTAAAAGAAAAAAGAAGTACAGACACATGCACCCAGTGCTTCCGAATTTACAGAGTAGTTCCAGGAGCGGTTTGTCATTTGACCCTCCTCAAGGCCATGCTGTCACCTGCCATTACACTTAGTGTATATGCAGGGATGTGGATCCCGAGCAGGGCAGCGATTTTCTGAAGATTGTCCAGACAGCCAGTGCGGGAGGCCTCAGTGCTGCTCATGCCACCGCTGCTGGCTTCCTGCACCTGGCACAGACCCCGCCACACTGGCCGTGGACACAGAGCACCTGTGTTAGTTAGCTTTTTCGCTGCTGTGACTAAAAGACCTGATCAGAACAATTGTAGAGGAGGAAAGGTTTATTGGAGCACTCATGGTTTTTCAGGTCTTAGTCCATAGAAGACTGGCTCCATTCCTCGGGGCTCGAGGTGAGGCAGGACATTAGGGTGGGAGAGTGTGGCAGAGGATCACATGGTGATCAGGAGGGAAAGAGAGAGAGACAGACTTCACTTGCCAGAAACAAACATAACCCGAAGCCAGGCACCCAGTCCCCACCTCCTCCAGCCACACCCTGCCCCCTCAGTCCCCACCCAGCCAACCCCATCAGGGGATTGACTGACAGATTGGGTTAAGGCCCTCTCAACCCACTCATTTCTCCTCTGAAGCCTCTTGCACTGACCCACATGGAGCTTTGGGAGACTTCTCCCATCCACACCATAACAGGACCTAAGGCAAACACGGAGGCTGAAGGAGAATGCATCACCTGGACCCCACCCCAGGACCCGGGGGCCCTGGCAGTGTCACTGTGGGTGGCTGCTACATCACCTGGTTTTCAAAGCCTCACAATTAGGGCTGAAGCCTTGAAGGGCTCTGGTGGAAGCCTGAAGGCTGCAGGGGGCCTCATACCACCTCTCTACATGGCCTGCAGTTCATGTTGTCACATCATGTCACCCCAGGCCAGAAGGCCAGAGCACAAATTATGCCCTACCCACCATTCTTCCCCCAAATCAAGCAAACCACAAAGCTGTGTGACTGTCCTTCAGATCCATGTAGCCTGATTGAACAGAGCGTGATTCCTGGGAGGTGCCTGCGGACGCCCAACAGCCCTGGAGGCTTATGGTCTGGTTTGAGGTGCTGCCCTCCACATGAGCTGTGCGCTGGAGAGTTTTCGAGGCCTGAGTGTTGACTCCGATGCTTGTAGTGGGTTCCATAGGGCAGGGTCCTGTTCTCCATGACGGGGTCCTCTAACGGCACAGCTTGGGGCCGCCACCGTCCCTATCAGCACAGAAGCTTCCCTTTGATTTTCTTAAGAATGGGCCTTTCCTGTACAAAAACATTTGGATATGAGCTGCAGAAGCTGCATTTGCAAAACCTCCTCCCAGAAGGCCCCCTGGCCATCTCTGAGTCATTTAACCTCCCTCACCAGTGTCCACTGGACAGTATCGTCCATATGCTCCCTGTCTGTTCTCCAAACCAAGTCATGTGGTCAACCCTCCATAGCAGCTACACTCATATCGCACACAGACTGCCCGTTTCCAGATCTCCTCTCTGCCACAGGGCAGTATCCAGCCGATATTTCCAGCTCTGCCACCATCTTCTCTGAAGTATCTCTGACCCCTTCATGTTTGACCAAGCTATGCTCCACTTTTGCAATCCCACAGGAGCTGAGATTATCCCTTCTCACTTCACTTTGCAGCTAAAATGCAATTTTTGAAGCAACTGTGAATATCTGCCTCTCTGCACCAACCTCAGACATTTCCCTAAATGGTTTTCCCTGAGAGCACCTGGCTGAGCAGTTGTTATAAAGGGGTTCACTGAACAAATGCAAGCTGTGGCCATTCTCAGCATTGCTTGCTGTGTGGATCAGGTTGTGCTTTAGCTCTTTGTAACAGGACTTGAAATTATAACAGTTTAAACAAACAAACAAAAAAAAACTTGTTTCTCTCATGTCAATGAAGTCCAGAGTCAGATGGCCTAAGGCTGACATGGTGACCCTATTTTCAGGAGCCCACACTCCTCTTTCTAATTGTCCATCCTTATGGGTACCTCTAACCGTATGCATGCAGGAGCTCCAGTCATTATGTCCACATTCTAGATAAGAAGAAAGGCAAGAATTGTAGTACAGAAAGACATCTTCCTTCCAGTTAAACCACTCCTTCTTGTAGGAGTGTAACAGAAAACCTCTGAAGCTGGTGTCTTCTTATATTCAATTGGCCATCCTTATCTGTAGAAAAGGTGGGGAAATTTAACAATCTAGTTTACTCTAGACTTTCCTGATTAATGTACGATCTACGTACCAGAGAAAGAAAGCCAGTCAGCCAGGCTGGACACTTGGGAGGTGAACAGCAGCACTGTTCATTGAAGACTTCCATTCACCTGATGAACAATGGTGTCTGGTTTGATGGTTTCTCTAGTAAAAGTAGGGATGACACATGCCTCTAACATGTATCCAGAGGATGCAAAAGTATTGCCAAGAAGGCTGCAGCATGCTGCTGTAAAACAGAGTAGCACATTTCTATGTACAACATAAAAGTTATGTCCTGGAAACAAGTGCAGGGAACCGGGGCCTTCAGGTCAGACACTGTGGGTCGGCGAAGCATCTTGAGGAGGTTCAATTGCAGAGTGTTTTACAAGACGCCAGGGCTGCAGGCAGGTGAGGTGATGGGAAGCAGAACCCAGGCATAGAAGAGAGGATAGCCATGGACCCTAGAGCATACCCCCTCTCCCCAATGTGGGAGCACTTTAGAAACACCTCTCGACTTTTGCACGTCAGTTGTGGTATTCATTCACCCAAATAAGTCATCTCCGCATTAGAGTCAGATGGCATCTAAGAGAGGGAGCTGGGAGGAATCCAGGGTCACTCACGTGGACATGGAGGAGAAAGAGGGAAAAGGAGAAGAAGGTGAAAAAGGACAAGAAAAGCAGGTGGAAAAGGACAAACAGGGGTTTCTCGTTACACAACGAGAGAAGTCGGCAGAGAAAGCACAAGGGCACGGGCACATGTGAGCTCTCAAAGAGGACAGACTCTCTGAGGCCTGTCTAGGGCCATCACCTAGATGGGGCCGGCAGGGAGAGCTGCAGGAAGTACCGTACGTGACAGTGGAGTTTCACCTTCCACATTGTAGTTAAACAAATATGATATCTTTAAAATACTCACTGTAGCAGCTACCCGGTACATTTTCTTCAAGTTAACGCTTGCTTTGTCTGCTTCATGTTTTTACGGCAGTGCCCTTCTTTTAGACTAATCCTAATGGAATCACTGACCCTGTTACAATCCTGGTCTAATACCCAACAGTGTAAGCAGGAAGTCACCTAAATTGTGTGTGGATCACTTAAAACTGTCTTTGAGAGGAACTGGGCTGAGCTCAGGACTTTGGGTCTTTGCTTTCTGGGCTCTGAGGGCCGTCTAGTGTAAGAGGACATTGGTCTAGTGGAGAAGAGTCCAGAAAGTCATGTTTGAGGTGCCCGCAGGCTGCTGAGGAAGGTTTCACTGCAACGCAGGTGAGGATCATGGGCGGCTGGGCATCCAGGAAAGACACCTGCTTGGGATGAGCGCTGGCTGTAGGTCTGGAGACCACCCACTTCCAGGAAGCCAGGGGCAATGCTGCTCATCCCATCCATGCTGCACGTCCCTCCATCATCATCCAAGCCCCTCTTTCTGTCCAGCTAACTCGTTCTCCTCTTTGTCTTCTCTGAGTTCCAGGAAGTGGATGGATTCAGGCAACAGCTCACATGCTGGCTTTCAGACCATGTCCGTCATCAGTGGAGTCTTCACCCGGTGCCCAGGCAATCCTGCACTGGGATCTTGGACTGTCTCAGCCCCAGCCAGAGGGACAGGTGTGTATATACACAAAGAGGCAGAGGTGAGAGAGATTAAAACCAACGGACCTATCTACTAACTCTAAAAATGATCACAAGATTCCACAAGATGACCAATATTCTTGTGGATTTATCAATCAAAAAACCAATTTCCTCTATTCATTTCATATTTTTTTATAACAAATCCCAGCCCTAATGGGATTTTATTTTCTAACTGCCTAAGTAGGCTTCTTTAAAAAATAAGAACTCTTATACATATAACCACAACATTTTTTTCTTTTCTTTTTTGCTACCAGGGATTGAACCCAGGGGCGCTTAACCATGTAGCCACATCCCCAGCACTTTTTTATATTTTACTAGAGACAGGGTCTCGCTGAGTTGCTTAAGGCTTTGCTAAGTTGCTGAGGCTGGGTTTGAACTCACAATCCTGCTTCAGCCTCCCGAGTCACTGGGATCACAGGTGTACATCACAGCATCCAGTTCACAACATTTATTTTTAAAAGTTCACTCTGTCATTGAAAATTCCTATTAGTAGTCTCCTCTCTTCCTCGACCCTCTAGTTTTATTTTAACCTTTGGTTGTTAAAAGTAGGTTATAACTAAGGTTCTCGTGTTATCCCTACTTGACGTGCTTCTTCTCTTTCTCTCTAGGGTTCCTCCCACACTGGCCTCCTCTTTCAATGATAATTTTGTGGAGGAGCCTGTAACACCTGTCATTTAGAGATGCTCACAGTGTGGATGGAGTACAGAGAGCTAGAAAGGTATCGTCTCTCACCTTCTCCCCACCTCAAGTTTCCTAGAAACCCATGAACGGATCTAGATCACCAGTTGATGGATGCTATTCAGATCTGATTATTTTAGGAGAGGACTTCAAGGTGGGTTTCATGTGATTCACCCAGGAGGCTCGGCGTACCTAATTATCTCTCTTCCTGTGATGTTAGTACCACGTGTTGGTCATCCATTGATCCACCAGGTCTTCGAAATGGTAATATTCTGTTTGTAAAGTCTCTTCTTCATTAGCCTGAATCCCTCTGAGGAGACACACCTTCCGGGGATCTCATCATGGTGCATTTTACCTCTCCAACACTGTCCTGAGAGCACCATGTAGTTCCTGGTCTGGCTTCCCCTACAACCCGGTCAGTTTGTGCACAGTCTATGGTTGTGCATTTCAGTGCACAGGGTGCCTGCCATATCTTTTTAACAACGATCAAATCTGAATGTCTTCCCCGGTGCTGATTTTCATCCCATAAGACATCTCCAATTACCTCTTTTGGATTTGTTGTTCTTCCGGTTTCTTGCCAGGACTTATTGACTCTCTTCTCCATTCCATTTATACTTACTTTCTCAGTAACAGTTGAGAATTATATCCCATGTCAATGAGAAGGGAAGTAAGCAAATTATATGCAAAAGGGTGATTGACTAAGGAAGAAACCATATGGTATTAGCATCTGTTTTTTCCAGCACTGTCCTAGAAAAGAAAATTGAGCCCTATCCTTGTAAAGCTCTAAGTTGTTATTTTTCACCCGAGGGAGTAAGTCTAGAATCTCTGTGCTTTAAAATCTTTAAAGATTAATCTGTGGCTTCAAGTGAAGATTGCTTAGCTGCACAGAAAAAAGTATCCAGAGATAGCATCCCAAAGCCAAGAGAGAGTGGCAGGAGGCATGCAACATGCCTCAAACTTTCATAGAATCCTCCGGCCCAGCCCTGGCTGCCGTGTGTGTGAGGAAGTGAATTCACAGAAGCTATTACTTATCTGCTTCATAAATATGCAACGCACAGATGGCAGCCAGGGGTTCCAATAATCTTTTACTCTGGTCAACACCAGATGTTTTCCTAATTAGCCTAATGAATGTTACAAATAAGCTGTCAATGATGAAATTAAGGGGTTTATAAAGAGCATGATGGACTTTAGAAATAGAGTCAGTGTAATTCATAATATTCAAGATATGTGAACTGGCTGAAAAGCCCAGACGCTCTCCCAAGGAGGCTTGGAAAAGGCCGAAGGCTGCAGGGCTGTTTCCCTGCTTCATCTATGAAAGCTGGCACCAGAGGCTCCTTCAGCAAGCCTTGGGTCCACCTGGGAGTCTGCAGTCTGTTTGGAAGCACAACCTGTGGAGTCCTCCTCTGGTACATGGCTGCTTTCCACAGAGGCAGTTTTGTGCAAAGAGTACTTAAAATAATAGAGAGTTCCAATTCTTTTCCCAAGCATTTTTTTTTTCATTTTCTTGAAAATTCATGTTTGCTTTCAGAGTATCTGTGATACAGGCCTTATATAATTGTGTGGGATACTCGTCTCAGAAATGACGGATAATGCCTCCCACTGAACGAAGCTGCCTACCAGGAAGGAAACACTAAGAGGCACACGGATGGCTTTGTTGTTTGTGTCCATGACATTCCGCTGAGAAAGGAAGGCATGGTGGTCAGCAACTCGCCTGTGGTTTTCTCGGGCAATCACTTCCCGCTCCTGCTTTGTCCCACATTTTGCCTGGTCCATCTTATTTTCAGTGCCTCTGATTTTGATGTCACAGTGGTGCTCATTAGCTAAAGTTCTGCTGTTCTCTTTGGGGTACGTTGACTCCAGATGTAAGACTCCGACACCCTCTTACCTGTCACTTAGTGGGGTGAGGGTGGAGCTTGGGAGGAGAAATAGCTGGGTTTTGAGGACAAATTTGACCATCTCAGGGCGTGATCACAGGGAGATGATGTGGGAGATGAGAAAGAAGCCAGTTGAAGACCTCTGCCAAGAACTGGAGGTGGACATGGGCAGCTGATGTCCAGGAAACATGCACAGGACTGTTAGTGGAAAAAGAGGAGCCAGACCCAGTCAGTGAAGGGAAAAAGGGATTCAAGAAGGAGGTGGCAGAAGGATGGCCTCTCCTCCCTGTTCTCCATCTCACATTCTGGCCTGGTTCCATCCTGAGATGGTCCCCTGGAGGTTTCCCCATCACCAAGGCGATCGGCCGCCCTCTGTTAGAGTCGGGAAGAAAGGCGCCTGATTTTAAATGTTCACACAAATTACTCTTTCTTCCAGTAACTGGTTTCCTATCGTATTTTATTCCAGCGTCGGCATGTTCCTTTCGCCTTCCCTGAAGCCTCATTAGATCGGTCTCTTTCCAGCACAGCTGCTGAGCAGGGAGTACCTCTGAAGAGCTGCCCACCCTGATGCTCAGTGCCTGTGGAAAGGGAGTAGCTGAGGATCCTGTGGAGAGACCTCAGTGCAGCAGGGCTGGGAGGGATTCATGGGAAGGGCTCTGAGTGACTGAAGGTGGTTCAGCCAATTCCTCCAGAAGGAAGAGGGGGGCCCATGGATGTGCATGTGGAACCAAGGCCTGCTGGAGGGTAATAGGCTGCCATCACTGGCTGAGGTGATCTGGAACCCTTTAATCCACAGGAACATAGAGATGATGCAGATCTGGGGTGTCTCTTGTGAAGGGGAGAAAGAGAGAGACACTGCACATTGTCAGACTCATCCTTCTGCACAATCTATCTCTTTTGAGCAGGGGAATTCTATTGCTTATTTTCTTAGTCTCATATTCATTCTCTCATTCATTCATTCATTCATTCATTCTCTCATTCATTCATTCAGATTACATGTCTAGCAGGATCCTCAGAGTTCAGAAAACAGAGTTGATCAAAGCCCAGCCCCTGTGCTTAGGAGATCCCCATTCGGAACACACCTTTGCTGTCCAGGGCCACCAATGCTCATCTGTCCCTTCTCAGTCCCATTGATGACTTCTTCCTTCTGTGTATGGTGTCACAGGCAAAAGAAAACTAAGAATCCAGAGGACTTTGTTGCAAACATGAACTCTTCCCCTTACATATTTACTATGAATTCTACTATTTGGAGAGATTTATGGTTTCACATTATTCTTTACAAAGCTCTCTGTGCCCTGATTTTCAGTTCCTCTTGACCATACTCTAGGGTGTTATTTGAAATTTTCTTGAGTTCAAGCTCCCCAACAGTCCACTTGGTGAAGTAGGTCGGATGAGCAGTGTCAGCATACTTCAATCAAAATTTCCTTTCAAAACAAAGTGGAACCCCTCACTACCTCATGGTTCCTTCTTGTGTTCCCAGGCCTCTGCCTCCCTGCTGCACAAACACCTTGCCTCTGGTCAGACCAGCCAACATACCATTGACCCCTTGACCACGGGCTCAATCAGTTGGGCCCATCCCTTTTTCTAAAAACTCCTTACAACTACATTTGCCTTTAAGAAAAAAATATGACCATCAAGTATTTCACAGGATTGCCATAATACTTGAGTGACCACTCTTTGCAAATCTTGGGAAGGCTAAGCTCCTGGCCAAGGGGAGAGCAGAGGACCTGAGAGAGAAGCAGCCAGCGTGGTGCTTGCTAGGTGGGCCAGACAATATGCGGGGATTTTATACACAAAACTGTTTTTCTTTCTTTTTTTTCCCCCAATATCAGTGGAGAAAATCGCTATTATTTCATTTAATTTTAGAAATCTTAAGGCTAGATGGATTAATCAAATTTTATAAAGTAATTCAGTTTATGAGTCAAGAAACTGAATTCCCTTGGCTAATTTCTAGCCTGGGTCTGGCTGTTGGGATTCCTAGTCTCGTGATCTGTCTTTATACAAAATATTCTGCCTACTCTCTGACCCCAGCAAATTGTCACATATCCATAATGCACAAACTTAAAGCTATTATTTAGACATCAAATTCAAGGTGAGTTGTTATATTTGACATCAATTGATATTATGAAAGACGTGAAGATGCCTGTGTTCATGTTTGATTTGCAGAGATTCCTGCAATTCACCTAATTGTACAAATCCAGAGTTTCCATGTTCCCAGCATTACACACTTAGGAACCATCACATGTGTGCGAGTCTTCAGTATTCCTCTTAGGTGCATCATTCCCATGCCAAAAATCACCTCTTCTTAGAAATTGGGTGATGGGTTTAAACAATGATAGATTTATTGATTGCTAATTTTTCTAAACCAATTTACTGAGCCCACAATCTGTGACTGAAATCAGCCAAATGCTGAAGAATAAAGATTCTGCATTTAATTGCCTTAAGTCATTGAGGGATTTAAATGCCAGAAAGACAGTGATAGGCAGCAAAGTTCAGATAAAGTGATTTGACATTTAGAGGATGTAGAAGTGTATTCCAGGTGGGAAGTTAAAAATAAGTTTAATAATAACTACCATTTATTTTGCCTCTATTATGTGCTTTCATGTGGGCCAAGTGCTTTATATAAATGGATTCACTTAATGTGTCCAGGAGTCTTGCACTATAAGCAACACTTAACTATTCACAGAGCATCTATTTTTGCAGACCTACAGTACCTAGGGGCGGATATGCCTGTTTAAATGGCTGAACTCCACGAAGAAATGAGAGTTCCAGGAACTCTCCCAAAGCTTTGTAATAGCTACAGTCTACCGCACGGGATTTGAGAAAACGTGCCCTTCTTCCTCCCAAATAGAAAGACACACAGTCATCTCTGTGCGCTTACTGGAGGGAGAGCAGTTAAGACTGAATTCAAGAAATATTCAGTGTCTGCCAGCGGCAGGCAGTGGGATAAGTAATGGGACCCTGTGAAGGGCTGGAAGTCAGGAGAAAACTGCAGGAGAACTCAAATTTATTTAAACTGTTCTTTAATGTGATTTAAAAAAAAAAAAAACTGGAGAGACTTCTCAAAAATTCCCTCCTTTGTGCTTGGAGTCCAGGCAGTGAGAGCTGAGAGGCAGAGGGAACTGGAAGAAGCGCACTGTGATGTGGGCTGCTGGGACCAGTGCCAGGAGGTCCAGCGCACACCTCGTATTGTGCCGATGCGATGGAACCGGAACGCACCCACGTGGAGGAATGGGGGGCTCCACAGCAATCCTGCTGAGCTGGCTGGACTGAAGGGCCCGGGCGGGCACACCTCGGGCCCTGGGGAAGCGGGGCCAACACTCTGCTCTTGTGAGTAGGCTCTGTTGGAATCCAGCCGCCCCTCATGGTTTAGGAGTTGTCAGTGGCTCTTTCAGGCTTCAAAGGCAGCATTGAGTCGCTTCAGCCAAGAGCATGATGCCCACAAGGCTAACAGCGTTCACTCTCTGGTCCTTGACAGAAAAAGCTTGCCTGTCCTGGTTTGGCACTTGGTTCTGAGGTTCTAGAGGGCTAGTGTAGTTTTTGTTTGTCTGTTTGTTAATTTCAACTCTCCTCTCCCTGCTGTTGCTGTGGTTGCCTTCACTCATTTTCATTTGGTTTGAGTTTGGGGAGGACCGGAGAGATGCTGTCTGCAGGCTGGCTTACAAAGGCAGATGGGTGGAAAGAAGCAGATCACACCAACTGAACCCTCACCGACAGAACTGAGGGATCTCCCGAGATCTGAGGACCACAAAGTCAAATAGCACATTTTTTAAAATCTCATTGTTTTTCTTTTTCTATTGGTGCTGAGGGTAGAACCTGGGGCTTTGCACGTGCAAGGCAAGTGGTCTAGCACACAGCTATGTCCTCAACACAGCCCTGGCTTCCCATCTGCAAGCTGTCATGGTGGGAGGAGAACTGGTAGCAGGGGTGAGCAGGACTGGCCGGATCAATTGCAGGCAGACAGGTAGAGTTAGAGCAACAGGCTGTGTGCAGGGTTCAGAGGAGCCCGTGAGCTGAGCTGGCTTCCTGCAGAGGGAGCTTTTGAACTCTGCAGGTGAACTCTCAGCAAACTCAGATTTGGCTGGGCATTGCCTGAGGGGCAGCTGGACAGGACGCATGTGTTTCTGACTGTTAGCACCGCCTTCCCGACTCCTGGGAAACCTGGAACCACTGTGGGAGCTTCTGCACACCCCTGACACCTGGCCTGATTTCTTTTTGGCCTGGAGTGTCTTTTTTCATATTAAGTGTCTATATGTGAAGTCACCTCCTGACTAATCCTAATAATTAAAGGAAAGTACAGGGATGACAAAGGAGCCGTCTTCTTCAACCCATTCTTCTTGGTCCCCCCGTTCAGCAACTTACTTACATTAAATTGCCGGCTCACTGGGGATATGTTTGGTGCAGACAGAAAATTGAAAATGTATTTCCACTACATTAAGGAAATGGTCATTTTCAAAATGAATCTCCTTATGAGAAGTAATCAGAATTAGATAAGGACGAGGAGAAAAATGCCTGCAATATTTAGATGGTTGAGATATTAAGGGTGATTAATTGTCATCTTAATGTCACAGGCCACACTTGCCTCATCTGTTCTCCTAACTGACCTCTTCCGTGCCCATTACACTTCTCCAGAGTTGAAATGAGTTTTTAAGTGGACGCTGCCCAGGTTGATGCTCAGCAAGCGTTTCTGTGATGAATGGGACAAGGTGGGCGGTGATACTCCTAGCCTGTTCGTTCTAGTCACTATGTAAAAGATGCATCCTGGGCACTACAGTCAGAGGGACCCAGATTAAAATCGTTGGAATTCACCTCTCTTTGGCTCATTTTCTTGGACTCTTATAGCAGTTATTTCATTCAGGGGTGGTAAAGACTGAGAATGTAAGGACGTTAAAAGGCTAAAACAGCCCCACGGCTAACAGGCAGCAAGAGCTCAATGAGACTTCCACCCTCCTTGTTTACGCAACTTGGTTTCCTTCCAGAAACAATGCCAGCAAAGACGGGGATGGGGTGGGGGATGGCTTTTTCTTCTCAGATAGTGGAACTTTTGCCACAGCAAGAAGGACCAGAACTCTCTTGTGCTCTCCTGAAGATCAGCAGCCACGACGGGGCGAAGTCATTTAGCACCTGTTCTTTGCAGAGATGGTGAGCCAAGTCCTAACCTCTGCTAATGCCATGGAGAAAGAGGATGTGCTCACTAATGCTCTTACATGGCAGGCGAAACTCTAGACTCTCAAGCCTTGGACTCTCAAGCAGCTGAAGATACACATGCCATCCCCAGTACCAGGAAACAGTCATTGCCTCGGTGGGCTGTGAGAGTTAGCAGACACCTCATCCCAGAGAAATCAGGCCAAAGAAAATTAGTGGATCAGTGTACTCAGCATTTGTCATGGCAGCCCGTACTCTGTCCTAGGTAAGGCACAACCAGAACCACCCAGGGATGTTTCTTAAGCCTAGGAAATCAGCGGCTGAGGAACTAGGATGGAGAAGTATGTGCATTTACATATCCTTAGAAATGGGAGATTTTTGGAGATTATTGGTTGTCTTTAGCTGGGAACCACTGATAAAAAGAACAAAGGAGACCCTCAGGCTGAAAAAGATAAGACCTGGGAGACAGGCTGTCAGGAAGGAGGGTGCGCTCAACCCCATGGAGAAACTCAAGAGCAGGCTCCTGCAGACTAGCCCCATCTTCTCTCAGAAGGCAGAGCAGGGCCAAGGCTGCACAGAAACAAGTCACACGTGAAATTAAGAAGTTTTCTGCGTATCGTGGTACCTTTGAACCAATGACAACATCGGAGCATCCAGGTAGGGAAACCGTGTTCTGGAATCACAGGAAAGGACTTCCTGCCTGAGACGTGAGGTGTACAGCCAGAAAAGAGGGCGGTGGCGCTTTGACAGGGGTCTGGATTCCCTGGGGTCCCCATGAATCTCCATCGTGCTCCCCATGGAGGTCTCCTAAAAGAGCAGGTGACATTAAAAACAGTGTTTAGTGTCTTAAGTGTAGAGTTTATTGTGCTTTATCCTCCTTTCCATCCAAAGACGAGGGAAACATTTCAAAGTGCATCCAATGAGCTGCCTATTCTCAAATGATGCACGTTTTAAAATCATTTCACCCCTTCGATGAATCCAGTTAGGTACATCCTTGACAGCGTGATGACTCTTCAGAGGCCACTGCACAGCTGGCCTGGGGCAAGCGGGTGGAGAAGGCCCCTGGGTTAGCAGAAAGCAAATCTGGGAGAGATCCTTACCAGAGGACAGAAGTTTGGTGGAGAATAGAGCAGCCTGAGGTTCTGGAGAGACACACTCTCAAGAGATCACCTGTTGATTTCTTGGCTCTGTTAAAGAACAATCACACCTGCTTGGGACTTCTTTGGGATACATTTGATGGAGAATCACTAAGAATTAGCATGGGCCAAAATGAGACGCTTTTCCCTAGCCATCTAGAGGGCAGGGGTGCAGCAAGGGCAGTGCCTCGAGGGTCACCTCCACCCCTGTCACTTCTGCCTCTCTTCACCTCAGCTTCCTCCCTCACAAGGCTCTTCAGACCTTGTTCCCAGAAGGGACAAGCTCTTGCCATATCTAGTACCAACTTCAAACCTGGCCAAATGCCTCTGACTGACATAAGTCCTCACATCGGCATGAGGAACAGTGCATTCCAGAAGCAAGGTTGGGGACAGGCTAAGCAAACTGGAAAAAGAAAGAAAACATAGCACAGTGTGTGCCTGCAGTTGAGTTGACAGTTTTCAGAGGGGAAATCATTACTAAGATGGTGAAGTGGTGTGAAGGGTCAGAGTAAGGGGGCACTGAGTCAACCCGCCTTTGTACCTCTGTAGCAACCCTTCAGTTCTATACAGTGAACAGACTTCTGGCAATTCATTCTGAATAACCCGTGCTATGTGTTATGGTGAGGGTGCCCAAATTATTAGTAGCAGTGGTGAAAAAATAAAAGTTAAGTTCCCTTAGAAGAAGCCATTAAGCGACTATCATTCCTCTGTAATGTAATGTGGTGTGGTAATCATATTATATGACTGGAAGCTGCTTATCAAATTGCAAGGCATGCTATTCATAGACTCAAGAAAACATACAATAGTGTGGCATAATGATGAGATGTTTTCTTTCTTTTTTCCTAATTCTCTTTAAAACTGTTAAATGCATTAATTGACTTCAAGTGATGTCCAAACGGTAAATATATAGTGGGGACACTTTTTCAATCTTTCTGCCTAATTCTAGAGCGTTTCCTCCTTGGCTTCTATTCCTTTGTCTGGCTTTATCATGTGGTATTTTCAGATAACTATCTGCGTACTGTGTAGACCTCTAATATCTCAAAGGCCCTGCCCATTCTCATGAATGCTTGTGTCATCTTTGCATTGATGACTGTAAACGTGTCAGCTTTTAAGAAAGTGGGTCATTGATTATTTGCAGGCTCCACTTTGAATTGTGATTTCCACTGTATTCCCAGTGAAATATTTTTTCCTCCCTTCCCGCCCTCCTTTCATTCTGGATTCTCTGTGTCTGAGATATCAGAATCAACCAAGTTAATAAAGTCTCAGAAACCTCACTCCAACTTCATTACCCCACAATGGCTTTCTTCCACTAACCTCCTCCCAACACTTCAAAATGTTGTTCAGAGATACACCTGGTGGCTGCAAACCTACTCGGCACAAGTAACCAGGAATGTACTATGTTGCCAGGGACTAGAAGGGAGTTCTCCTTCAAAGAAGAGCCTGACAGTTACAAGAAACAGCCCCCTGGGAGACATCTCGCCTGGGAGACACCCTGCAGCCATCCATCTCCCTGAGACATCCTGCGGCCATCTGTCTTCCTGAAACATCCTGCGTTATCTCGCCTTGTGAAGACATCCAGAAACTGCCAATAAGAGAGCTTCCCCCATCTCCAGCACATAAATACCCCTGTGTGAACAATAAAAGTTTGCAGCTTGATCAGAACTCCTGTCTTGCTGTCACCCTTTGTGTCTCTTGTCCCTTCATTCCTCCCCATCTAGGTTCGCTGCCCACGTTGATGTGTCCTGCTGGTCGGGGCACTATGTATAGAATTAAAAGCCATCTCCTGCCTACACCTCCCCAAGGTTGTCCACTACTTACAAGACACACAAAACACGCTTGGCAAGATGTGTAAGGCTCTTACTCCCTGGAACCTCTGAAATTTAGAGAAAAATTGTGTGGCATGGAATCATTTGTATTTGTACACAGTGATGAGTTCTTCCAGTGCACACACCTGGCGTTTTATCAGGCATGCAATTCTTTCCGACTTTTCACCAACCCAACCCCTCCTCATCTAAGCAGCTCACTTCATACGTTTCCTAGCATACAAAGAAGGATTGTTAAAAATGATGCATGACGAAGCAGGCACAGATTAGGAAGGTGATGCTACTTTCCTATTTGGGGAAATGAAGGACAATAGACCTGATACTTCTATAATATTGACTCATTTCCTCATTGCTAGGGTTTAATTGTACCTTCGGTAAAATTCAGGTGTTGCCAGTGTGTCCTTATTAAGAGATAACTAGTTCATGAAGTCACTAGGCCAGGAGGTCACCAGGCCTTGAAGTCACTAGACCATGCAGTCACTAGGTCATGAGGTCACTAGGCCATGCAGTCACGAGGCCATGAGTCTCTAGACCATGAGAACAATAGATCATGCAGTCACTAGACCTTGAAGATTCTAGGCCATGAAGTCATTAGGCCTTAAAGTCTCTAGGCCATGCTGTCACTACCGTGGGAACCTGCTAGGCCATCAAGGTTCCTCCTTTGTGAGTGGAATTAGGCCCTGTGCAAAGAGGCTTCGTGTAGAAGGCAGCTAGCTTGCCCTTCCATGTTCACCATGTGAGGGCCCCTCTGGAGGATGCCACAAAATGGTGCCATCTTGGAAGCTGAGAGCAGCCTCAGCCAGTCACTGACTCTACAGCACCTTGATCTTGGACTCCCAGCCTCCAGAACTCTTAGAAAGGACATTTCTGTTCTTTACAAATTACCTACTCTGCACCATTTTGTTGAATTAGCACTGAACAACCCAAGACAATCCCCTTAATACCCTCTGCAGCTAGTCTTGGTACATCCATATCTGAAATAAAGGAGACTGAGAATGGGGAGTCATCTACCAGTCACAGAGTCCCTGTGCAGCAGGACCAGGGCGTGGTGCCAGGCTTTCTACCACCACACAGTCCCGTTTCCCAAGTAGACACAATGACACATCCACTGTAAAACAAGATGCCACAAGATCATAACCCACATAGATCTAAAATCACAAAACTCCACTCTTTTGACTCTCTTGTGTTTCTGCTCCTGTCTTGCAATGTATTGCATATTTTCAATAAATTGACTCACTCTGGTCCTGCTATTTGGAATGCCTTTGTCTTTGGTGCAGTGATGTCAGACTGTTTTGACTACAGTCCTCTTAGGCCACTGTAAGATCCCATGATCACTTTTTCTATCCTGTTCTAATTTTGATGTAAGAAAAAAAAAGTAACTCAATAATGACATAGAAAAAGAACAAATAGGACTGAGAATCATAGAAAAATAGTAATTACACAAGAACAAAATGATCAGCGAAATTACACCTAAATGCAATCCAACGTATATATTAATGACTACCGAAATAGCAGCAATCAGAATTCTCGACCAGCCTGAGACAGAGCAGATGACAGATGACGCACTTCAGAACAAAATTATGAGAATCCCAATTATCTCTGATTATGTATGCACAGTAGGAAGTTTGTAGTGCTTCAGACAAAGTGTTGCATGGCAACCAATTTTTTTTTTCTGTTAGAATACTAAATTAGAATCTCCAGTAAACTCTACTTATGCAGTAATTTTAGTTTAAAAATATCAAATATTAGTCACTTTTAAAAGCTATTGCTGCAAGGGTGCTAGAAAATTGGCCATAAACACAGTAAGACATCAGTTGCTAGAACTGTCTGATGTTTGCCTACATGGGACACAAATGCAGTGGATAAATTTGGATTTCTTACCCACACAAAGGTGCCTCTTTTCAATTGGTCCTACAGTGGACATTCCCAACATCTATGCTTCTGCTCTTAAGATAATGGTTTTAGAACAAACACGTACCTCATCTCTGTCTTACCTTCATTCATCTGATCTGACCCTGACGGGATAGGGATAAGCGCAGCTGGCTCACACTGTGACCTGACCCTCTGTCTGATGTCCACATAGTTTCCTGGCACCACCTTCTGCAGTGACATCAGCCTGGTCATGCTGATGTGACCTCCTGTGTATGTGCTACCAGAATCGTGTAGGTGTTTAATAGGGCTAAGTGGTGCTCTGCTTGGCAGCTGGTGTGAGAGGAGAGGTGGGGAATAGTTTTCACAGAGAAGGGGTGCCGAAGTCTGGCTTGGCACAAATCAGGAGCCACTTGTCAAAAAGAAACTAACTTTATTTTTAGAACTACAAACGCCAAACAAAACAGC